CACTTTACACTTTGCAGGTGTGAAGCGCATACCAAACCGCGAGGCAGAATTATTTAGATTATTTAATATTGTTTGCATTACAACGGGATCAGATACCAGAAGAGCTATGTCGTCTGCGTACTCGATGTCTGTGAGCGGAGGCCCAGGGAGCACTTCGACCCCACAGGCATTAGAGGCTGGCAGTGAGTCTTCCATGATCGTATCGGAAAGACCATTTTCTGGATAAACACGATTAGAAAGTATTAGATTTATTATTAGATATATCGTGCAAACCAGAATGCTCATGAGGGTGAGAACCTACGCGGTATTCGATCCGTAGGCCAGAGAAGGTGAAATCTCATGAGAGGACGAAGAAATAGTGTTATCTGTGGGAGATAGTGCTACTAGGGTACCACAACACTCAGTGATTCTGAGAGTTCTGATTCAAGATTCAACGGACGCATTCGTATGGGGATCAAATGAACTATCTGCGCTTGTGCAGTCCGATATTTGGGACAGTTGCCTAGTCAGAAACTGACACTTTATTCATTGAAAATACGCTAACTGATTGAAATGTTACAACAGTTCATTGATTTACCAATCACTTTGGCCAGATTTATCGCACACCTTATTAGCAAGCAAGATAGCAGCGAGTGTACATTATTGTAACTGATTGCAACTGGTATTCAAGCCTATGAACGCGGTATAAAAACGCCGTTTGATAAGCTGAGGTGACTGTCTATTATGGCGTCCCAAAAAGTTCTGAATGCCTGTGTATCTACCAGAATTTGTGAATTACTGCTTCACCGAAAACATTTGCAACGGTATGGGATCGAATCAATTTACCTCAGTACGCGACACACAGCTGGCAAACAAGCACGGACTGAACTGAAGTGAGAAGTCACTTCATCATGCCTTACGTACTGCGATCCATTTAGAGTGTAATACACAAATGAAACGCACACCAGGTTTTCTCCCAGTTCACAACCTGTAAGTCGAATCACCGTGAATCATGGTAACATAAAATTGTGGATTACTTGAACCCAGTCACCATTCTCTAGCCTGCCAATATCCAGCTAGTGCCTTAGAAGCCCTAAGCTTACTAGGAAGAATGCTTGGAAAGTGTTACACTATTGCTATTGAATGGATGTTCTGATGAATCTTCGAGTGAATTATTTTAGGTGTCTTTCTAAATGTTGGCTTTCGCTCCTCACGTTTCGCTGATCATCCTTACCAACGCTTATTAGCGAAAGAGCTTCCAAACCCACTACTGTTTCCAGATATCTTCACTGTTATTCGCTTCTTTGGTTTTTCGCATCATTCGTAAAAACTAGTGTTCAGATAAACAACTAGCAAACCAGCGTCCACTCTTCTTGGTCAAACTGAAATAAATTTTCATCAAACCGAAAAACTAACAGGACAGTTTCATCCATAGATGCTGGAAAAGTCAACTGGGGAGTACATTGCTGGTCGGATCATTGAGCAACACCCACCGGTTAGCGTGTTATCATAGACGATTATGCCCAGTCGAAAAGCTGCTATCAAGACTCATCTTAGTTTGCGGATGAATTTTGTTAGTTCCCATCTGTTGAAAATCAGCTACATCTTCCTATTTTTGCCTTCTAATTCGAAGGACAGTAATGGAAGCTGTTTGTGGTAAGCAAAAACGCCCATAAATTTATTTCTTTAAACCAAGAATCACCTTTGTTGTGTTCACGTTATCTTACGAGTTTCCATTGGTTGTTCTGCTTCTGAGTCGTTACAGAGACAAACTTTCACCCGCAATCGTACCAAATCATGCTGGAACCAATCGTAATACTGTGTTGATTAATGCCTCAGGTGGTCGATCCTGCCATGTAAACCCGACCACCCATAAACACGGTGAGACACACGGATTGGACGCATCGCGCTATTACAAAGAGGTGATCACTTTCATCAAAGAGAAAATTTGTAGGCGTTTGCGAACTGGACATAATCAGTTCTTGATCATCCACATAAGCGTGACTTCCAGGTGATTAACTTGTAAGCATTCGTACAGATTTAACTGGATGCTGTGCTGCACAGCACAGCATCAACCTAACCCAATTGACATTGACACTACCCTAGGTGCCGCTTCCCAGAAGTCGTCCAGTTCAAAGTTTTGTGTGATACTGAACTCTGATGGCTTTAAGCCGTTCATATAACATCCAACCAGGATAGGCCATAGTGTAAATTCAACCAGAATGTAAACAGAGATCAAAAAGGGAAAGCAGATGGAATCATTTTCTCATATTCATTATCTTTCCCGCCGAGTTAAATGACATTGTCTCTGGATTTCCTCAGGTGCTGAAGCAGGTGTATTCTTTCTAAACACGTGCCGATATCCTTTTGATCAAGCCCACCGGTTTCGTTTCAGAACTGCAATCTGAACACAAAATGCTTCAAAGCCGTTTCGGTGAAACACAACAATTGCTCTCGTCGGCGAGGCGCAAGTCATCAGAGGACCTCGCTGATCGACATCAAACCAGTGCAAACGGAGAGTATCCTATCAAACAAAAAGAAGTGGAATTCATGCAGTGAGTCGCGACGGATATGGATAGTTTTTCTACCACTTTATACAGTTAAAGGTTTCATTACTACGGTTTTTACCACTAGCGGTGTTTGCTTGCAACATAGTTTTCACCAATAAGTTACCTACGTCTGGTGGATCTAAAAATCTTGAAATGAACAGAAGCAACAAAATTATCAAGGAGCCCCCAAAAAGCTCCGCCGTCTAGTGAAATTTCTTCTTATTCTGGTAAACAGGCGCAACTCGTTCATGCATGAGTGACCCATCAATAATCTAACACAAATCCATAAGTGAATGCCATCAAACCGTGTCTTAGTGGACTCGATACACACCAGCTGGTTAAATTCCCTACTGTTCCCACGCTGCCAGTCTCCTACAGGCCAGTGTCATCCGTTTTTCAATCAATACTTTAAGGGATGGACTTCAAGGTAAACAGACTCATGCTGGCCTCTCCAACCATCTTCCAGTCGGATGGAGTTTTGACATGCTTCTTTTGTCAGTTTGTTCACAGCAGCGCTCTCCCGAGAAGATTGTGCTGACTACTGAATTCTCACTGTTCTGGTGTTCGCAGTTACCGGAGATGAATAAGAGGACAAAATCGATGGACGTCCGGTTGGATTAGAAACTACTTTAATGGGAGTAATGAGCTGTGAAACTCATGATATGTTCTACAAAACCTCAGCTAAATTTCAGAAGAAAACGGTATCTTGTCCATTTGACGTTTTCATATCCCTGTATGCTTAAAGTTGTGCAGATTCCAAGAAAAAATATTGAATATAACAATTGTTCTCCTTCACTTACGCCTCTGGCCTCGCTCATTCAGGCGGACCTGTTTCACCTAGCACTGTATTCTATTGCATCACGTTTTTCAGGTTAGAAATCTCCAGACTGAAACAATTGCTGGATGATCGTGACGTGCTGATTGAGTCATTACGAGCAGACTTGCGAGGCTCAAGGGCTCAACTCAGTGACCTGCGTGGTGAACTGTCGGAAGCTCAGAAGGAAGAAGTTGAATGCGCAATTGAGTTCGGGAAGCGCGTTAGTGCCGAGTTGACTGACGCCAAGGCTAAACTTTCACAACAAGAGCACGTTATTCAGGGACTCCGTGATCAGACGGCTGAAAAAGATGCAAATTTGAAGTGAGTCAATTACTTTGGTTTATAGCAAAGTAAATAAGCATCGGGAATTGCAGAGTGGCGTAGAAAATGGTGCTGTGTTGTAACCATTTTTTTTCGTATTTTGTGAGGATTCTCCGTTAATTTTAGCCTATATACACAACCTGGCAGTATCCCAGCCCTCGTGCTTCCTTCGGGTAGCATGGGAGCTAGGCACCGAAAGGGTGTTACAGCTGAACGGTTTATTTTATTACATACACAACAATCTAGGAAACTTTCCAGTATGGATAATTTTTAACAGAGAATGGTAATCAGAAAATTGGCGCACACCGTATATGTTGTTAATCTAGTAAGACTATAACTTTTAAGTGGTCAAAAGACCTATGTTCCAAGTTTTTTTGGCTATATTCCAAGACAGGACCTTTTGGAAAGCAGCCTTCAAAACAAAGATACCATGAAATTATCCTCAGTGAACTTCCGATCTTCCAAGTGGAAACTCAACCTGCTGGAAGCCAACAAAAATCCTGTTCTATCCCTTCAGCTACCAATCAGAGGAAGTGCGCCGTGCACGATTCGCAGTCAACCTGTTACAAAAGCTTATTCGAGTGTCTTCAGGAGGGAAACCTCATCCTGATCCCGCAGAAATACACTCAAGTGATCTGATACCACGTGGTTTGCGCTGGTGACAGAGGTAATCTCAATAAAGCAGAGTGAAATAGGTTTTTAGAAGCTATAATCTATCATTGCTTCGGTCTTCCTACCAAGTAAGTTGGATAAGCCCTGAGTGCAATCAACACCAACGACAAGAAAGTGCACCTCCGATTGAGTGGACGGAACATAATGTGTCCTGAGTCCGAAAAAAACAGCAGTAGCATTGCTTCATATCCGATGTCTATCGACTCCTTTTTTCTCGCTTGGTTGTGCAAATAAATTCCATTGGGTATTTGAGGCATCGCTTGCGACGGATTCTCAACAACCGCCACGGTGGAAACTTGGAGGCGGCTCGTGCTCACGCGGGATAAACGATACTGTTAATGGTTGTCGAAGCTAAATAGATACAGGAGGAAAGTTTAGACAAAACTACATAGCAGAAGTTTGTATTTTCGGTCACTAAGTTGTCCTACGATCTATAGCAGTCGTGATGAATGGAGTAAGTTAAGTCTTTTGCATAATGATCCCATAGCTGAATGGTTCACCGAATTTCTATAGTATCCAAGTGGATTTTTGAGGAACATACCAGGTAAAATATTTCTATGTCTACCCCAAGTAGCTTTCAACTGACTGATTCTTTGAATTAAAGCGGGGGGGGGTAATGAGAGAT